CTATTGCATTCAGAACATGAAAGTAATAAATGTTGGTGCTCTGATAGTTCATCATGCATGGAGCATAGCTAAGAGCTCTACAGCTAGTGGATTGGGTTACCCTGCCCTGATTTTCACTCTTTGTGAGCAATCAGGAGTAGAATCCCATAGCAATGAAGAAAGACTACAACCAAAAAATTCTATTGAGAATCATATGATTCAGAGATTTGAATCATTTGTTGAATCTAGGGGTGGAAGAAGTTATAGACCCTCTACATCAACTACAGGGCATCTACTTCTCTCCCTAAATCTCTAGAAAACGTTATGGACCAACTCATAATTCAATAATTGGATATAGTAAATAATCAAAACCAGATTGGAGAGATTGGAGCGAGAAATGCTTAAAATGATGAGTATTAGCAGAGGAGAATTCAACATGATATAGCTTTTGAGGATGTTATGGTGAGATATCATAGGGGTGAATACAATGTAAAATTTTCTACTTGCCCCAGCTTCACTCCTTATGCTCCTATTCATGAAGAAGAAGAAGATGATGATGATGATGATGATGATGAGAAGGAGGAGGAGGAGGGGGAGGAAGGCATTGAAGATTGGTATCTTCTGGTTAGTTTGTTTATTTGGTTGTTTGTTTGTTTGTTTGTATGTTGTTTGGTTGTTCTTTGGTAGGCATTTGAAATTACTATAGTAAAATATAGTAAAAACTTTTATTTTTTTGTGTTGTGAACTTAAAATTGTAATAGTAACTGTAGATTTTTACTTTTCCTGCTTTTTAGTATTTTCAGTTTTTATTTATGTTTTTACTTCTCAGCAAATTCTTTAGAATATATTATGTCTCACTTAATACTTTAAAGCATGTATGTATTTTTAAAGTTAGTGCCTGCAGTATACCAGAACCTAGTTTCATAGTCAGAAATCCTCTACAAGTTAGTTTTTATTTTCCTGCATTTACTGTTTTCTTTCACCAACTAAATTTTGTGCTAGAACATTTTAAAAATACCTAAAAACTTAATTTTGGGGGGAAGAAAATTTTCTTTTTTAAAAAAGAACTAAATTTTATTTGTCCTTAAGTAAAAATATTTTTAAAATTAATTTAACATGACATGGGATATTAGATTTAACTTAAAATGACTATACTTATGTTTATGAATATTATGGTAAATTTAGGTAAAAATTTTTAATAATGAAGGTCAATTCTAAAGTTAAAGATATTTGGTATGATAAGATAAGACTAAGTTTTTCTATTTAAAGTAAAAGAAATTTTATTTCTGAAGTATTAAGAATGTTAGAGTTTAATGTAAAAAAAGAAAAGAAATGGAAAAAAAGAAAAAGAAAAGAAAAGAAAAATAAGTGAGGAGTAGCTTGAGGAGATGCCTAATCAAAAATTGGTTTCACTTGAATTAACTTAAGAAAAAAGCTTTATTACATTTTCTAAACTTATATTGGATTATTAGTAGCATTATTAGTAAAGTTTTCATGAAGTTCTTTTTCATATAAAGATTCTAAATATCCTTGATATGAAAAATTACAATTCTTCTTGAAATGAATAGAGATTCAGAAATCTTTAAAATTGACTACTAAGTACTCTTAGACTTAGAATTTGAATCTAAGTTATTAAATGTTTTTCTTAAATTTTACTATTTTATTTATTGAACTAAAGTATATAAGTTATAAGTTAGTCTCTATCCTAAGTCATATGTTTTTATGTAGTAAAAGTGTCACTTGAGGACAGGTAACATTTAAGTTTGGGGGATTTTGATACACAAAAATAATATGTAGTTTATATTTTATGTTTATTTTTGATGTTATTGCACTTTAAAGAAAGGTCTTTTCATGTTTTGTTTGGAGGTATATCAATTTTAAACATTTGGAGCAAAAGAGCAAAAAAGGACTAAATTTAGAGTCAAAATAGCAAATTTTTGAATTCTAGTGCAACATGCGCCAAATTGACGCATGATGCTCCAGATTGGTGCCAGATGTGCTGGATTGGCACCAGATTTGCTAAAACCCAAAATAGCGATTTCTTCAGCAAATTGACGCATAATGCACCAGATTGGCACCAGATGTGCCATTTGACAGAGCATTGGCGCATGATGCGCCAGATGTGCCAGGGATGACTTTTTGCGATTAAGGAGGTTCGAGACAATATTTGGGCAAATTTTCAAAGAGACACTTGTTCTAAACACCCCTTAGTGTAATTTAATGCATCTAGACACTTTGGAAGGTTCTTCTATGAAGGGATATGTGTTTTGGATCAATGAACATGTCTTTTGAATTCAAAAGAGTTGACTTTTGGATAAAATTTTGGAGGGAATTTTGAATTCTTTTTGGAGGGAGGCAGCCTTTGATAAAAGAGAGGGAACTCTAGGGCATGAAGGGTGTGTTTAGAGAGTTGATGTGGCATGAAGGGGCGACAATGAGAGTTAGAGAGAGAGAAAGTCAAGGGCTTGAAGATTTTTTTCAAGAATTGTAGAAGGAGAGGAAAGATGAGAGATTTTTTCTTCATTACACTTCTAAAAGAGAATTGAGAGTGCTTGTAAAGAGAAAAAGACTTAAAGAGAACTTCTAGGGATTTTCTTGTGAAGGATTGTAAGATAAGTTGTGTCTTTTATTTCTTTTGTTTTGTATACTTGTTTTTATATATGAAATTTGTGTTTTATTGTATCATTCTCATGAATTCTAAGTAATCTTCTTTATTCTTCTCCCTACTTTGAGATATGGTTTTGTGAAGTATTGATTTTATTTTATTCAGTTTTAAATGTCAATAATTTGTGATGATTTGAACTCAGATCTTCTTTTGCTTTTTGATCTGACCAATTGAAATGTTAAAATGTGTTGAGAAACATATGTTCCGAAAAAGCTATGGTTTCTACAAAATAGGGAGAATAACATTTGATTTAATGGGAGAGTATTTCATCAATGGGGTTGGGTGCAAATAAATAGGAAAATATAATTTGTTGGATGCAGAATTAGAGATTTTAATGTGACAGATTAAAATTCCAAATTTGGTCCAGTTAATTGGAAATTGATGTGAGATTGTTAACCCTCAAGTGAGGGAGTAGTGGGAGCACTGGATCCTCCAAGCCTAACCACGGAATTAGAGACCAAACTTTGGATTAATCAATGTTCTTTATGCACTCGAAAGAGGGTAAAAGATATGATTGTTTTTATTTGGCACAAAACAATTTTTATAAATATTTTCAAATAATTTTAATTTCTTCACAATCCATATATTCTTTGTAAAGATAAACGATGCTTTCTTAAAATAGAACTTTCTGTCACAAAAACTTAGTTTAATTTTCGTAAGTTTACTTTTAAAAGTTTAACATTTACTTTAGTTAACCTTATCTTTCAACTGCATTTTAATTAGTTACTTAATATTCAAATTTAGCACTTTACTTTTTATAGTTTTAAAAATTGTGCTTTAAATTATAATCTTAAGAACTTATTTATAGGCATTTCGAACTTTCATGTGAGATCGATATCTAGAACTCCATTAGAACCCTTTATTACTTGAGCGATACATATACTTACGTTATTTTTAAAGAGGATTTGACAGTTTAAAGATTTTTAAAAGATAAAACTATTTTAACTGAAGTTATTTTGTTGGAATTAATTTTGCATATTCGTTATTGTATTTTCCGTGTGTATTTTGTAATATTGAAATATTTTTACAAAATTAACACACGAAATCCACACATCAATATTGTGTACATAAAAAGCGCTCCTTTAAAAGTCACCCAAAATTAGGGCTGCCAAAAAAGCTCATTGTTCGTGAACAGCTCGTGTTCGACTCGTTCGTTAAGTAAGCAGAAAGCGAACAGGTTTTTAAACCGCGAATTATAAACGAGCCGAACATGAACAACTATTTGTTCGCATATGTTCGGCTCGTTTTAGCTCGAAATAAAGAAAAATTATATAGTTATTTATATAATAATATATTACACATATTATTTATACAATAATCTATTATATATATTCATATCTATGCTTAAATCATAATTGTTCTTGTGGTAATGTGGTTATGTGCATTATTTTGTATATATTTGATCCAAGTTCGAATCTAATACTCTACATTTATTTCTTCAATTTAATTTTAACGAGTCACTTTCAAGCCGAACACGAGCACATTGTTCACGAGCCGATTTCGAACATGAGCTGATTTCGAACACAAGTAATTTCAAGAGAGCCAAAATCGAGGCTCAAACTCGGCTCATTTACGGTCCTACCCAAACCCTAAACCCTAGCCAAAATCGAGGCTCAAACTCGGCTCATTTACGGACCCAAAACCTACCGTATTTATATAATAATATATTACACATATTATTTATACAATAATCTATTATATATATTCATATCTATGCTTAAATCATAATTGTTCTTGTGGTAATGTGGTTATGTGCATTATTTTGTATATATTTGATCCAAGTTCGAATCTAATACTCTACATTTATTTCTTCAATTTAATTTTAACGAGTCACTTTCAAGCCGAACACGAGCACATTGTTCACGAGCCGATTTCGAACATGAGCTGATTTCGAACACAAGTAATTTCAAGAGAGCCAAAATCGAGGCTCAAACTCGGCTCATTTACGGACCCAAAACCTACCGAAAAAAAAGCCTTAAAAGAACATCATCATCAAGGCCCGTAATTCCACCACTCTTATGTCACAATATCTACACCGCATCTGCCCCCTATGATGTAATCATCCATCCAAATAATAGCTGTCACGCCAATACGTCTTAGAACCATCACCCCCAAAGTGCGGCGCATTGATTCAATGTCTCAAGCGATTCAAGGACAATCTTCCCTATTAACCCAAAAAAGTATAATATAAAAAAAAACTCAATCCGCTTGAAAGTAGATGATCTCTGCACCAATCTTCTACAAGTTGTAAAATCTTTGCAGCTGCCCCGAACAGCTTTCCTCCCAAAAAAAAATCCTCTAACCCACTCAACTTAAGGGAAATATAAAAAGACTAGCATAATCGGGACAAAATAAGTATCACGCAACCATATTGATTTTAAAATTCTTTCACCATTAAGACATATCATACACATCCAGATCTCGGACAAAACAGGACACGTAAAGTTTCAGCATGCTGCAAACAAAATGAGATACAGCTCGTGCTACAAAACATGTGCAACAGAACACAGGAAAGAAAAACAGAGCAGACTTGATAACAACCATAACAACCAACAGCCTAATATGGATTTATTTAAGAAATTAACAAAAAGAAGGCTTGATATTGGATTCGGCGAACCAACCGTAGTTATTGTTTAGATGACATGATATACAGCAGCCACTAGCAAAAGAAGACACGAAAATCATCCATAGTACAAGAAAACTTTGCAGGAACTGCACTTCGTTCAGGACATTCAAACTTCAGCAAATCTAAAAAGTAAACAGAAGCATTAGTAGAAATTAGAGTAATGTGGCTTGGCTCAACTTATTTTTTTTTAGCAAGTAGAATGATCGTCTTACCCAAGCTCTGAAAGCTTTAGGTGGGCCTCAGCATAATCAGCAAAAAAAGCATCCTCATCCTGTCAGCAAAAATGAGTAGGAAATCAGTTTGCCAACTCGAAGCTCAAAAATCTTCAGAAACAGTAACGCATTTTGTTTCTTTTATTTATTTATTTTTTTTTTATGAAATGGGCAACAAATCAATACGCTCCTATGGATTAAAGGTTGGAAGCAGCCAACATGACTCCAAATTGAACTAAATAGCCTTGAGCCACTTTGAAGTTGGTTACAAAATAGCTAGAATGGATTATTAGTGAGACTAATCCTAAGGAATAGAAACAATTATGAATGTAGAGGGAGAATAATACTGCAGCATATTTATCAACAAAAGGGCGAAAAACCGGGTCGCTCAGAAGGGCCTTGTCTGATGGCAGCTGGATGAGTCCTTCCTTCTCTCCGCTAAGAAGCTCGCTGTGTCACAGGCAACTTGTGTAAGAAGATTTCAAATTACCAAAAAGAAAAACAGCAGCGTTTGGTTAAAAGATCTCAGGAAGTCCGAAGATTGAAGAAAAAAATTGAACTAAACATACGTGAAGTAAGTGTTGTCAAAGATAAGCGGGTTAGACGTCCAAGCCCCTTCAAAACCTGAACGCTCCTTATGGCATCTTCCCTGATGAACCAAAAAATAAAAAAAAATGAAAAATAAAAATTTACAAAAGAAAAAAATGCGCCCAATGAATTCATTAACGTGTGCCAAACCAGAACCAGAAGGCCAACACTAATAACTTACGAAAAAAAATTTATTTGGGAAAAATAAATAAGGATTTTCGCTCACCAGCGTGTGTCCACCAGAAAGAGCAACAATGTCCTGATCACTCAACCCCATGTGACCGAAAACTTCCCTCAGGTGATCAGAACCTGAAATTATACAATTTTATGTCAACTTCCTTTCAAATTGTTGCACACGGTATGTAAAGAGCTCACGCATGCAGAGTTCAGAGGAGAAGAGAAACAAGGGGAAAGGATGAATATTCTATGTATTAGTAATTGAGACAGTAGATGATTATGGTAGGCTCCTTTTACAATAAAAGTTTGACAGAGTTTGTTAAGTCTAGTGCAATTTTGTTTAGAATTAGCAACTATGAATTGAGTTCGTTTTTTAGCAATGACTTAGTGAGTGACTATTGTTATTGTGCTGGAAATATTGTTATCATCTCCACCCAAGATGAGGGCTCCAATGGAGACTATTGTGAATTAATTAGACATGTGAGACCTTGAGACTAGAAGCAATCCAAAATGAAGTGAGAGCTTATTTTTGTAAATTTTGTGTGAGCTTGAAAAACTGGCAAGTGAAAGTCCTAAACGAGAAGGTGAAGCCATATAGTGTCCGAGACTATTGTAGCTAGTGAGCAGTATCCTGCTTCAGTCTAAGATCAGACTACGATCAATTGTTTTTTAATGCATCATATGTAGTACAACAGCCTTCCTAGGAGCTAGAAATGGTTAATATTTTGTGCATTTTTTGATAATCTCGATTAGCATCTATAAATATATCTTACCAAGATGGTTATGTATTGAAAAGAGCTAACAAGATTACAATTCAGCACAGGGTTATGAAAAGTCGTGGTTGGGTTCTCGATGAGTATGTGATTGAGAAGAGGCTTACAATTTATCATGTTTGCTCAATTGAGAATGACAAATGCATATTTGAATTGGTCAAGCAGAAGGCCATAAGATTGACTAGGAGAGGATTACCATAAGTTATGACGAGATGAGGCAATGTGTTGTGGTGAACAAAACAATAGTAAAGACTAGGATGAGTGCTAGTGGAGGCAAACAAATTGGCTGTTGGGACGGACATGGAGTAAAAATCATGTGGCGTTTAAGGATGTCATTTTGAAATAAAACATGACAAGAAAGTACTTATTTACCAATAAAGAGATTGAAACATTTATACATTTGTGGGTTGAAGGAAAGGTAGGTCAAGAAGATTAAACGAATAAACAATGGTGCAAATTTGTGTGGTGAGGTCATTATCAAAGAAACCATTGGCATCTAAATGGTTTGAGGTGAGCCTAGTTTGGTGGTTTGTTGTATAATAATTGTGTGATATATTATTTGTGGGAGTGGAAGAAAGAGCCAATTAAATAGTTAGACTGTAAGTTGGAGGGATTCAATTCATAAAAAAGCAAGATAATCAATGTTGACAATGAGGTGAGTGGCCCCACAGTGATGTCAATGTTTAGCTTAAGCGTATATGGGCAACTATACCGATATAATATGCCCCAATGGGCGAGAATTTAAGAGTCGAGAGATTTTTTCACCCCCACTAGTGATTCTATGAATTTGGATTTGGGTTTTGAGCTAGCATTCAATCATTTGATTGATTTGTAAGAATTTAAATATTGTTTTAGATTTAAATTTCCTTTGTAAAATCTAGCAAAAAAAAGTCATCAGAAATAACAAAGGGTGATTCTCATACATCTGAATGGGTAAAGTTCTGAAGAAGCTCGTGTGCTTATTGATGCAAAAAATAGAAAGTTTGTTATTCTTGAAAAATTTACATGGAATGCATTAAAAAAAAAGTTTAGTGGAAATGCATACAGTTGATATCATTTTGCTAGGTGTCCAAATCGGTGATGCCAAGTGTTAGAACAATTGGCAAGTAGAGCATAAATGTTAAATTGGATTGGAGAAGATGAGGTTGTTGGAACCATGAAAGAGCAGTAAAATGGGAATTTTAAAGAAGATTTTGATTGATTTGGGAGTCAATTTTGTATCCAACGGCATCAAACAAGATGAGGTGAATTTTATCAAAGCTATTTTTTGGATAGAAATAATTTGGACTGTAAAGTAATAAAAAGCTTACTAATGGTTGTCGGGAAAATCATGTGACCCATTTTAAGGCAGTGAGGCCATGACCCTTCCTAAATAGAAGTTATTAATCGTATGTATAAGATTTAAAGGCCATAATTTGAGAGTGGTCACTGTGAGAAGTGACGTATAACACTTGAATCCAAGCATCAAGGTGTAAAAAGAGAAGAGTCAAGGAATTAAGCTTAAGAGGCAAAGTTGAAACCATGGTAAATGAGATTCATGCAACATCTTTAGGTGTGCCAATGTTAACAATTTTATAGCAATTTTGTCTTTCTAATGGGTTGACTGATCTACCTCTCCTGAATGGGATAGTGGATTGACAACCAAACCTGTTTAAGTAATAGATGGTGAGGTCGTTATGTACGTGTTAAAGTTGCCTTGATCATAATTTTTTGTAGTTGTGAGCGTTAGTTGAGGGTCCATGAATAGCATGATTTGTGTCATACTGGTTGCTTCTTGAGCAATGTTGATCTTCTAACTACAACGTAGAGAATAGAAATCATTGAGATTGAGTGGTAAATGGTTGGTTCAAATAATGGTTTTAAAAGCTTGATAAAAGGAGGCAGGTCATTTAGGGTGTACAAGATAACATCATCATGGTCTAGGAGATAGCCAGCACAAGTGATGGTCAGGACCTTTGCTTTGATGGCAGAGAGGTACTATGTCATAATCTGATCTTTAATTGATTAGTTGGATGATGAGAGAAGGATTAGAGGATTATGATCATTGGTTCATTGCTACCTACATGTCAATTCAATAAAAAAAAAAGTTAAGATTAAGGACATAAGAGAGAGAAGCTGAGACAACAAAGTACAATACAACCGCAAACCTCTAGCCTATAAGTGTTTAAAGATGGCATTGGGTATAGGAATAGTAGTGCCAATTTAGATCATATTTAGCATGTCGAGCACAATATGAATCCATCAACATACTTTTTGAGAAAACATGAGCACCAAGTTCTCACTACAACATAGAGAATAGAAATCATTGAGATTGAATGGTAAATGGCCGGTTCAAATAATGGTTTTAAGGACTTGATAAAAGGAGGCAGGTCCTTCAGGGTGTACAAGACAACATCGACAAGGTCTAGGAGATAGGAGATTGCAAGCATAAGTGATGGTCAGGACCTTAACTTTGATGGCTGAGAGGTACTCTGTCATAATATGATTTTTAATGGAATAGTTGGATTATGAAAGAAAGATTAGAGAATTATGATCATTGGCCCATTGCTACCTACGCGTCAATCAATACAAAAGTTAAGATTAAGGACATAAGAGAGGGAAGTTAAGGCAACAGAGTAAAATACAACTGCAAACCTCTAGCCTATAAGCATTTAAAGATTGTATTGGGTGTTTGGAATAGTAGTGTCATTTTAGATCGTAGTGTAGCAGGTCAAGCACAATATGCATCCATCAACATATCTTTTGTGAAAGCATGAGCACTATGTTAAGTGGTTGTTTATCATGGGTTGAGTGTTGATAAAATCTTGATATTGGCCATTAAAATTTTTCGCAAAGAGAGTATGGTGACATTTCTCAAGGCGGGGTGTAAACAAGAGTTGTGGTGGTGGTGATTGAGAGATCCATATGTGGTTTATAGAATGAAGAAGGAGATAAGTTAGGGTTAGAGAAGAGAGAATAACCCAAATTGTTGTATATCTTCTCCTTAATTTCATGCAAGTTCAATAAAGAGATCAAATCTTTTAATGCCTTTGTTGAGCCTTCAATCTTGAGGTTGGCATCTTCTCGTTCCAAGTCCAACACCCCATACCCCATCTTTGCCCGCATTATGCCACAAGCACCTTCCAGTGAATGCACCATCTATAACATCTATAAGATCTAATATATTCATCACCTACCAAGATCATGTTCCAAGCTTAGCCACCATTCTCGCATGCTCTCATTGTTGGTGAGTGATTAATCTACAAATTTCATCATTTAGCATTAATACTTTCCAAGTATCCATCAACAAACTCCAATCTATGCACAAAGCTTTACCATAGGACTCAACTATGGTACCAATCTCCAAGCGACGATGACATTTCCAATGATATCAAATCTTCACTCCAAACTTAAGTCTTATCGCATAAAAATTCTCCACATCATCTCTTCGCATGCCACAATTCACACAAAAGCATTGTATCTTAGATCAATATATTCCATGAACTCACATTCAGCTTTCAATCTTTGCATCTTTCAACATATGACTTCTGCTTAATCAACCATCACGCTGATGATGAAACTCATTCTAAATATCTATTGCAGCACACGATTCACTACACCAACATTGTCTTCGAAGAAACAATGCATCCTTCTCAACTTTACACCCTTAATTTCTCCAATTTTCCACAACCCCTTCCAGAATGCCGCAAAGATGCTTTATATAATATCCCTTAAGAATCAACGCACATAGATTTGAAGCAAGAGGTACCTAAGCACATCAACAATGTCAATCATAACATTGACAATTTTTCGGATACAATACATGAAATCAAAGAGAGATTGAAAAAAACTGAAGTCAACTTTGTAAAACTCGACTCAAAATTCCAAATTTCATGAAGAAAAAGTCCTCACAACTTAGCCACATTACAAAAAATAAAGCTATTGCACATGGAATTTTATTTGATGGCATATGTGAAAAGAGTTGCAATGCCTTCACACCATTAGGTCATACAACCAAAAATTCAAGCACACTGTACAATCCAAACAACAATCTAAGCATCCACTTCTAGCAAAATAATAGCATGTAGATTCCCTATAATTTATGAACACGATGATCCTAGCATAACAAAGGCAACTTCAACCACACCAGCGCAGAACAAATAAAACATGATGTGGCGAAATGATTTTTGCCTTCATTGGCATCAATGAATCCTCAATAGGAAGTGTAGATAAATGATCACTAACCTCCTGCCATTTCACTAAAGCTTCCTCCTAACAATCTATTATGACTTGAAGAACTTGCATGTGTTTCTTAACTTGCATGTGTTTCTTAATTAAATTTATCATGCCTTTCTATGTGATTCAACATTGAGGACAAGGATGGTTTTGAAGAGGCAGATAATGATGGAGTTAATATTGCAATAGGTAATTTGATGTATGTTATTGAAACATTTCAAACCATATTAGCTAATAGATAATAAATGGTTGGTAGGTAGCTAATGTATTCTTATGAGTCCCAAAAAGTACTTAAGTTCTTTCCATTTGGGAGTATTAGGTCAGTAATGAAGCAATGAATAATTCTACTCCATTCTCTCAATCTCATATTTTTTTTAGAGTTTTCAGCACCTCAAATAGTATTTTATCTCTTCTTTTTTTTTTTTTAATTGAATCAAGCAAAGCGGTTGTATCACACTCATCCATACATGCCCTGCCATAATTAAGATGAGATAGTTCCCGATAGAGTTAAATGCATCCATGACCTTAATAAACAACATAGATTATTAGCAAAATGCACGACCTATCAAAATAAACACAAGCTAAAGAGTGGGCTGTCCATCTAGTTCGGAATTTAATATTGTATCTTATAAGCCACAATAATGAAACTAATTAAAACCATCAAATGCATGTAAAAAGATGTTTTATAATAAAGAAACAAACTATTAAATCCCCTCCAAAGAATTATTTAGATAATGAATTTAAATGAATTTAGATAAGTTATTAGAAGAAGTACCTTTGGTAGCATCAGGGAGACGACCTTCCTCAGGGGGTTCAGGCTTATCCTAAATAAAAAATCTAGTTATTAATAAAAATATTATATTTAAGACAGAAAAAGACAAATAGATAATCACTTGTCAACATGCATCAAAATTTTATATTCAAATCCTGAACAATCAAGATACTCGCTAGATTAGGAAAAGAAATTATGATTCCAACTCCAGAAAAATAATCTAAATGATTATTTCTACTCACATAAAATTAGCAATTTTTCATTGAAAAACAGAATTTTGGGAGAAAAAAATTAGAGAAAACTTTGAGAGCTTTGTAAATGCAATATGCAATTAATTATAATAAAATATGTTGAAAGCAGGGAATTCGTATTTCCAACTACAATTCCAGCTAATAATGAATCCCAATACAACTCAAGAAGTTCATGTAAGGGATTTTTAAAAACTGATCGATACTAGGGGAACTTGAGTCGACCAACCAACAGAGATTCCACCTGAGCAGCAAAACTAACTGAGATAGATAACATTCGATCGAAAAAAAAATGTAAATAACTGAAAACAATGGATAACATCGGATAAGTAACAATTTTTAAAAAAATAATAATGATGAATAAAAATCGATCGTTAAATCACACAAGATCCAACCCACAATGCTTATGCACTATAAAAATTCATGTCTCCTAGCTTGAAGGAGATCAAATTCCGACGGCAATTCCTTTCCCATTAGCAGAAAGTTTTGTGGTAGGTAGCATACGAATCACCCCAGTATCAAGTCTTGATGGTTACCCTCGCAAAAACTCCAACAATATTCACTTAATATCCTTAGCATTGGATGCGACTCGTCCAAGATGATGTGACATAACCGAGCGAGCGGGACATAGTAACTATAGGACTTGCATCAAGCAATAAATTAGCAAACCGACCAAAAATATATTAAAAATTATCGACCCATCAATAATCACAATAAAAAAATTATCACAAAAAAATACAATGCACAATAAAGGTAAAAGGAAAAGAATAAAGGTGAAACCAACCTAAAACTTTATTTCATTCATGATCAAAAAATTTATATAATTTATTAACATTTCCTTGCAAGTGTTCAAAAAGAAAAAAAGAAGAAACTTTTATAGGTTACAGATGAAGTTGAGGGTGTCACACATTCGACAATCATCCACCGCTTTCACCATTATTCTCTTCCCCCCTCTTCCGAGTTCAAAAGTAAGGTGCAAATTTATCCATATTGGCCCCACTAGAAGGAGACTAGCTTTCCTTTCACCATTTTGTCAACGTCAAAAGACAGTCCTTCCTTGATTTGTGAAATGAGATGTTCCACCTGACAAGTTCATTATAGCCACCTTCTCCTACAAGGCTGGATTTTCCTCTCGTTGTTTGAGTGCCTCGACTTTGTTGGCAGCCACCCATTCCTCCATTGCCTTTACCCTCCCTTTGGCCACAGACAACTTTTCCTCAGCCTTTAGAAGGATCTTCAATTGGAAGTTAGAAGTTTCCTAGGCCATCAATTGATACATATCAGTCATGTGACTGGCTCAGGAGGATATGCTCTATGAGGATAGGAATGAGACCGGTTGATATTGGTGGAAGTTAGAAGTTTCCTAGGCCATCAATTGATACCTATCAATCATGTGACAGGCTCAGGAGGATATGCTCTATGAGGATAAAAATGAGACCAGTTGATATTGACAAGGGTCGAAGGTAGAGAGCTATGGCGGGAGAGTTATAATATCAGTCTTCATTGAGGTCATTTAAGGCAAATCAACAATCTGAGCTACTGCTCAGCTTCATCTACTCGTCTTACATAGGAATCCACTTAAGCAAGGATCTCTTTCGCTTCTTTTGAGGTAGATGAGGCACATCGCTCTGATTGGTCACTAGTCTCTTCCCCTTATGGCAGTCCTCCTCTTAGCTAGAAGGCCTAGGCTCAGACATAGGTCCACTCGGGCTAGCTGATGACGGTCGACTTGCTTCATCCCTAGAAGGAAAATCAATCGAGGAGGGAACGGTCGATTGAGGAATGGAAAATCTTTCTTTTTAACATTCTACCAAAATCCTCCCCTTCACTCCAGCTCGAATCCACTATGTTCGCCGTCGTATCGGTCGCTTGGTGGTGTTTACCTAAGGAGCCTACAACTAACAAAGCACTTTGTGGTTGTCACGGCAATTTTCCTCACAATCAGTGGAGATCCTATGAAAATAAATTGAGGTAGATAGAGTAAATTGTTTTCGCACCTCTCAAGACTTTCCTAGCACAGACAGCCAGTGGCTTGTCAGCCCTGAATGGAGTAGTCGATTGGTCATTCTCACTAGCGATTGGAGCTTACGGTGTAGTCGAAGACGTATCTCTTCTGTAACATAATGAATTCCCCATGAGTCATCTTTGATTGGTAGACTGAGATAACCAACCCAATTTCTTTTGATGATTACTTTGGAGCCATTGAGCATAGCACAAAAGCAGAAAGCTTAGAGTGAAGAAAGGTGAGGAGAAAATGGAGTAATAGAGTAATGTCAAAAAATCATCACATAGGGGTTAAAAAGTTATTCAGTAATTTTTATAACGTACTAACAGACGAATCACATCAACACTGGAAATGAGAAAGGAAAAATAAATTTTATTCCCAAAAAATATTATAAATCACAATAAGCACTCTGGAGCTAGCCTGAGAGGTAGTACTTTACAGGAGGATCGTCTACCGCTTCGACGAAGAAATATCCCAACATAAGAAGGTTTTTATACAAAATTTCTCTCTGAAACTTGAACTGATTCACCCAATCAGTCTCGGCTTGCGCCTAAATTATTAAGGATCTCACTTGGACGTTCGGCAATTCCTGACAAAAAATGGTCATCTCCTCCATCCTATCCACTTTCACTACACAAGCAATCATAAATCTATCTTACCTCGATGAATCACTGCTAACCGAGCTAAGAAGTTCTCGATCTCATCTAGGGGGCGAGTCGGCAAGTCCGTGTCCTAGGGTATGTCTGTCATCCATTAATTGCTTCCCCGCAGGCCCCGCAAAGACTGCCTGGGCGATCAATCCCACCATCCTCATTCAAGGGTCAGCCACTCCCGGCCGGTGCCTTGGGCCGATGTCGCTGCCGCCTCGATCGGATTCTCACCAACGTTTATCAAATGTGAGTCATTGTCAAGAATAATTGGTTTGACTGCATCAAAATACAATCTAAAGAAAAGGAAACTCAAAATAAATTAAATTCTAGCAAGCAAGATTGAGGCTCTTCATACCAAAGAGTCGATCCCACTCATACGACGTAACCGCCACTACACCCTCATCGGGTGTCAGCAGAGCACCAACAGCTTCTTACGCCCTGGGCAACAGTAAAGCACCTGCAGCTTCTTGCACGGTCAATTCAACTAATGGGTCATAAGCTACAGCAGAAGGTTGAACCAACAGTTTGATGATGAGGCTGGTCGCTTGAAAGTTCCTCCGTCGAAAATAGAGGAATCAATGAGACGACCTTACTTGATTCGCCAAAGCAATCACTTTTCTTAACGATGGTTGTCTTTTTCTTTTCACCTTCTTGGTGATACCACTCCTTCGGTTACCAAAAGCAGCATAAAGCTTATATTTGCTGAGAACACCAATCAGAGGACTTGACACATTCTTGAGGACAACGCTTGGAAGCCGATAAATTCAAAAAAACGGATACAGAACAAATATATAAAGTAAAGTCTCGTCAAGCCTTATTTATAAAAATCAAATGTGCAAAAAACAAAGGATAATAATTACGAAATTATTTGTTAAGAT